CCCCCCCCCCCCCCCCCGAGACATTCTCTAATTTATAATCGCGATCGCGCAGCTGCGCGAGTTCCGGTTCTTACTTCTTCGTGGTAACGGAGCCGTCAATTTGCGTTATTACGTTGTTAGTAAAGCGACAGTAATGATACATTGCGATACGAAGCGGCGTTAAGCGCTTACCCTTTAGAATTTTGCGCTTATGTAAATGACGCCAGTGTCTCGACCGAGCGCGAACAATTAATGAATAATTTATCGCCGGTGATAACAAGTGTTAACGATCGGAGTTTTCTATTAACGACTCGATCGTTTGATCCGCGAGGGAATAATTCTCGCAACGCGCGCGCGTTTCTCTCCTTCGATCTCGAGAAAAATGCTTCTCGACTTCACGTACACGGAGAAAAAGATTCCTTTAGATTTAGCATTATTTGACTAAAATTTGTTGACTGAAATTTTTCATTATGTTTCGCACTTATTATATTTTTCCGTCCCTGACATTCTCATTTAATAATGTTTATTCCCGGAGCTTACCAACGTCCATACAAGTCCTATAAAGAGATCTCGCGAGCTTCACCGGCTTGAGATCAGTCTCTTTGTCCGGCTCTTCGAGCAAGAGCCTTAAATTCTTTAGGAGCTCCTCCCTGAGCAGGCTCAGCTGATCCCAGTAGCTTTGGCTTTGAGGAATCGGGTGCTTGTCGATCCAGCCGCCGCAGGCGAAACTGTAGAAGTCCTGGCAAGGATCCATGGATCGGTTCATCGCGCCTATTACTCGCGCCGCTACCGACACAACGCCAACACGTTATCCCCGAGTCGCTCTACATTTATTCGTAATTTCGAGCGATAATCGTACGCAATGTATAATATACTCGTAATATAGATAATATTGTAATAATGTATATGTAACAATGTACGTATACACCGTGTGTTGAGATAAATGGAGGAAACAAATTTTGCTAGAACAACAAATGTTTGTCAACATAGCAAGGAAAATAATTTGTTTAGACAGCACAAAATTTGTTTCGGCAGCAGAAAGATCGATTAATTGCTATTTGCTAGATACATGGACAATTAATAACAAATCTTTCTGCTGTCCAAACCAATTTTTTGCTGTCCGAACAAATTTCTTCTTACTGTCACAAATAAATTGACAAATATATTTGCTGTTCTAGCAAAATTTGTTTTCTTCGTGTGGCCCGTACACGCTTACAACGATTTGTTAGCGCGCTGACAAGTTAAGAGCATTCTCAGTATATTGTAAACGCGATAATAACAGTGGTTCTGTTAGGAAAATTCAATAATTACGCATTTCTATAGCAAAATACCTGCTCAAAACTACTAATAAGTTGACTCATTAGCGCGCCAACATCGTTCGGAATACGGTTCAGAATGTGCACTGAGAAAAAGATTTCTTCAAATTTAATAAATCTTATTGCACCCGAACAAATTTCATCATTGGCACGCTCCAAAGAAACTAATGTTTCGATTAATAAGTACGATTGTCAGACTTTCCGACGAATATCTTTATCTTAAATAAGAAATTTGTCTTAAACGAAAGATGATTTTCTCGTAAAGAAATTATTTGTTTCATCTTACATATACATCGTAACGAAATAATATTTTATTTGGTTAAAAGACATTATTTCCCAAGTAATGGCATTCTTTCTGTTAAAGTTTTCTTGAATGAGTGAATGAAATGTTTACTCAAACAAATAATATCTCGTATGTGTTGTTTCGATGAGACAAATTTTAGTCAAATAAATAGAAATACTCGATCTAAAGAAACTTTTTTCTCCGTACGTTAAGAACAGGTGTGTTGCGACCTCGTTTTTCCTTGTAAGCTGAAAAGATAACGGCGTCTAGTACCTGTTTTGATACACTCCTCGCTCTGGCACATCTCTTTGTATTCCCTCCTACGGAAAACCGCCATCTGCAAGGTCAGTGTTACGACGAGGGCGATGACGGTGACCGTCAACAGTCCGACGACGATCACGAGCCTCATCTCCTTACCGCCCGATTTCTTCTCGTTTCTTTGACTGTAATGCCTGGGCAAAACGATCTCGATGATAATGACGGATTTCACGAGGAGACAAAGTCGACGATTGACGAAACACTAACTTATGCTCAGCGATTTAAAGAGGTGCTTATCGGAGGCCTGTACTTGTTATACAGAATTCCGTTTTTAGAATGTAATCTCTTTCGTTGAAAAAGTCGAATTTAATGGAATTCGGAAATAAGATGCGATCTGTGCGATGCGACGGAAAAGTTCGAAAAGCGAAAGAAAATACTAATTACCACGAGACATCCGAGTTTCCTTTCGCGTTCTCCCCTGCGCCTCTCTCATTATCTTCCGGGTCGTTCACCTGCGAAAGAGAAACGATGACATCGATCGGACGATGACCAACCGCAGACGCTCGCTAGAAAATCCGAATCGGAGCTATAAATAATCCGAAGCAGTTGGCAAATCATATCTTGTAAAGACGTCCAAAATCCTTCAGACATCTCTTGAACGTCCTTATGACGTCTTTCGCTATGCCGGGTATAGTAGCATGACGAGACATTTTTGGTCCTTCGATAGATTTCAATCGATTGGCCATGCGGCCAAAATGTTTCCCAAATCCATTCGGTGAAATGAATGATTGAAATGGATATCAAATTCAGTGATCATGGACGAAGGACAGTGCTATCAAAATGTTCCGTGGGATATGTGAACAAACGTGTTTGAAATATATATATTTGTATATATATATATATATATATATTTAGCGAAATAATGAGTCGACGGTGCATCGAAAATCTTCGCTTCGCAGCGTCCGCACGCTTCGACGCTCTTGTCACGTTGACTTTTCAATTTTGTTCATACATTCTTAAAATTACTTTCCACAAAATGGCATAAATTGTGTCCCCTCTATAAATAAAATGATATTAATAATATTTTAATTAATCAAAAACCACTTAGAATTTTGAACTTTCTATACTTTTGGAACGAAAAACCGGATCAACTTCTAACCTATAGATGTGTTTTCAGCTCATCGAGATCTTTAATTTGACACTCATTCCAATCGTTTATTTCACTTAATGGATTTGGGGAACACAGCGCATACACAGTTGTATGGAAAATGAAAAAATTTAACAGCAAGTTGTTAATATAATGACGGAAAAAAATGTGTTAAGAATATTAATTGCCATTTGGATATACAGACAGCAAAATAATTTGGTTATACCAACAAAATTTTATTGCTGTCGCAACGACGTTTTGCTACAACAGTAAAATTACTTTTTCCGTGTAACACATTTTTTTCCCATCACCATATTAACAGACCATTTGCTGTCCCAGCAAAACTTGTTTCCTCCGCACTGTGGCCGCGCTCTTTATTATTATCGTTCACACTTTAAACGATTTATCCGTTGCTTCTACACGTTATGCTCTGGCATTTGCAGTTATCGAATGCTCATATATTTAGGTCACCGAAAGTAAGCGGAGTGAGTAGTTGAAAGCGTATATTCGCGCGAGTGTGTGTTGTGACAAATTGGCGCGAAAAGCTGTAGCGGTCGAAGCGCCGAATGAAAGCGCGAATCACAGAGGAATCACGTCGTTCGCAACTGATGTTAACTTCGGTCGATCTGGTCATACGTATCTTTTACGTAAGCATTCGCTTTTCATTCGTTCGGTTTTCGCGTCGTTGCGCCGCGAATAACGGCGGTCACCCCCTCTCCCCCCGATCGGGGATTTAATAGAACGAGGATCGTCCGCGGGGCAGGATATCGGGCGAATAATGCCTAAGTGAAGTGATTCCCCCGATTCTGGGGCAAGGTGAGCGATCGGCTTTGCGGATGACACCTCGCTGGTATCTGAATCGAGAGAGAGAGGGAGAGCCGGTCGTTCCTTGCCGTATAATTATAGCGTGCGAGCGAAATAGATCGGAAAGAAGCATTTCGCTTCGGCAACACGGTTTCGTGTCCTTCCAGGATCTTCCGGCTGCTCGCTTCCGAGGATCACCCCGTTCTCGGGGAAGCCGATGAAAGCGACGGTGCAAACGACGATGTTTCTTTAACTTCATCGTGGATTGCATCGATTCTCCGAAATATCCTCGACTTCATATTCTTTTGCTCAACTTTAACGACCGTTAACGAAGCGTTAAAACCCGAAGGCACGGCGATCTACGTCAACCAACATCGAGTCTGATCATATTTTTTTATATTGTGCCACTAACCGCAAGGAAAGCAGCCGGAAAAAGTGATTCATTTGCACGGAGAATACAAATTTTGCTAGAACAGCAAACGTTTGTCAAAATAATGAAAAGCAAAAAAGAATTCGTTTAGATCGTAAAAAATTTTTTTGGACAGCAGAAAGATTTGTTAGGAATGCTAATTGCCATTTGCCGAATATATGGACAATTCAAACAAATCTTTCTGCTGTCCAGACACATTTTTTGCTGTCCAAACGAATTTCTTTCTGCTGTCACTATATCGACAAACATTTGCTGTCCCAATTTGTTTTCTCCGTGTGGACACACGAGGCCCTCGAGAGCCGCCCGATTATCCAGTCGGCCTCACCGATTTCAATTAATATTAATCACGCTCAACTGAATGTTTTTTTCGTCGTTGTCGTGTACGTGTTGTGTGTTCGGACTTTAATCTGTCAGGGAGACGAGAAACGACTGATCCGAAAAGTCGCGACAATTGACTCCGGCACGCCTTGTGCTTTCTCCTCTCTTCTAATTTCATCGACAAACATATCGCCTACGCCAACTTGTCTCCTTTCGCGTCGCTTTATTTAGCGAGCCTTTTAGCCGCCAGCGATCCCAGCGGCAGACTCACCTTTTTTTTTTCGCACTTCATAACGCGCAGTCTTCGCGAGCTTGCTGTATATCCGCTAAAATATCCCACGCAGCACATAATACTGTAGCGATACCGTAGTAAAATTGCAATATCGCGGAAATATTACAGCAAAATGTTACAGAAATGTTATTGATATATTACACGTTCGTAAATAACATTGGAATATTACAGTAACATTGCTGCAGTACAGTCACATTCCAAATAGCCAAGTGACTTCAAGAGACATTTTAATTGTGTTTTATTGCTATTAAAAATGTTATATTGAAATTTAAATAGAGACATTGAGAAAGGAAGTCATATAATATATATATATATATATATATTTAAATGTTATTTAATAAAAAAATTTTCAAAATGTTTTTAAGCATGCGAAATTCTAAACAATATTTTAATTGCTCGATATGATTAGTTGGTTTTCATGATAATTTGATATCGTCAGAGTCAGTAGAGTCAGTGGTTACCGTCGAAGTTCAACAACGGCGAGCAAGTTTAGTAGTCGGCTGGGGGGTGACCTCCGGTCAGAATAGATAGAGAAACCACGAGGCGAACGTATGAAATAACTTTTTTTCTCTCCTATAAGTAACAAAACAATTAGGAAGCAATAATTTATCACTGGTCAATTTGTCACAGTTACTAGTACCTCTTTGTAAGGGAATATAAAATTGTGAAATGTCACTTTAATATTATTGTGATTCGTTTTAATGTTACCGCGATATCTCAGTAATATTATAGCAATATTCTCACTATATTACATTGTAATATTGCGATAGAAATATGATATTGCCGTATTATGTGAGATATAGTAAAATAAAGCGACTTTATTCTCTCGATCGCGCCGTCAGTTAATTTTTACCGTCCGATTTTTTCGTACAGATAATCGTGATATTATTTATAATACAGCGACAGATAGCTTGTTTGTTCGCGATTTAGCGCCGTTTTTGACGGTTAGCTAAATCAGCCCCAAGGTGTCTGAAAGCTGAATCATTGCTTTTCGCGTTTAGCTGAGAGACGAGACGATGCAGCCGCGTGCGTTTCCCGACAACGTTCTCATTATGCGCGCTCACAGCCACCGAATCGTTATGCTTTACCCGAGAAATACTCGAGCGCCGGTGTTTTCTTTCATCGTCCTCCCCCCCCCCCCCNTCATTCTGTCCATTTATCTCGCAAACGGCACGGAGAATTACGCAATCGTGATTCTGCTATTTCAGCTCCTCCTCTCGTTAGGCTGAACATACGCGCGGTGATTTTCTATGATAAATAGTAGCACCAAGCCCAAGATTCGCAATTGTGGGTCCATTTTAATTGCGCTTTCTACGATATAATTATTTGCCTCCCTCTTCTCTCTGATTTCCTGTTAAACGAAAGAGAAAGAAAGAAGCAGGAGAATGAGATAAAATATAAAATTGAATGTACGGAACAGAAGAATATAAAGCATATAAGGCGAAATATGTAAGAGAAAATATACAAGAATATATACACGGAAAAAAGTGTTAGAATCAAGTAAATGCCTAATTACCTGTGTCTCAACTTCTTAAATCAAGTAGTATTTTTATTAATTTAAATATATTTCTATAGCTCCTCAGTAAACACAAAGTAACGTTACAGCAATGTTATAATTTCTCACTCGACAATGTAGCTGTTGTATACAACGTATATTTCATTTACATTGTTAAGTGAGAAATTAATAACATTGATGTGACGTTATTGTTAGATAGCGTTCACTGGGTCCTGGTAAATATATTTATTTGAACGCAGTAATATAATATTAATTTATAAATAAACTCTTGAATGTAAGTATAAAATGGTTCCAAATTTAAGGGAGTATTTATTCGAATTATGTGATGCACTTCATTCCCATTGAAGAGATCTATAAATAAAGAACTCAGTTCCTGCAACAAAGTAGAAGCCAGATAAAAGCTCAGTGATAAGAAATAAAAACTCGGCGACAAGTGATATCTTTATTACAGCGACTGAGAACATTCGTTTCAACATTTAGCTGCAGCTAAAATTTAACTGAGACAATTGAAAACAATTGATTAAGTAGAAACCTGCTGCAGGAATCTTTCGGTTTCTACAACGGAATTTTCGTCTGGTTCCCAGGCAACGAAAAATTCAGTTATACCAACGGAATTGTTTTTTCTGTTTCTGATAAATTACCCAGCGCAAAACCTAAAACTGGAACGTAAGACGTTTATAAGACGTCTGAAAAATATCTAATAAACGTCTTACTTAAAGACGACTTTAAGTAGTATCTTAAAGATGTCTCATGTCCCAGTATTAGGTTTTGTGCTGCCTGGGTATTTTCTAAAAATTACATAAATTTCTGCTTTTCTCATTATTGTGCGAATTTAATACTTGTCGCAATTGTTTTAACACATACAAGTAAATGTCTACTTATACGAAGGAAACATCATATTGCATATATACTCAGTTATATTTCTACTTTTAGTAAATATTTACCAAGGAGTACTAAAGTAACCATTTTATTTGAACGAAGTAAACATTACTTGAATAATAGCAC